ATATATATAAACATGTAAACAAAGCGAATAAACAAAAAAATACTTATCGTTCGGGTACCCGTGATCACCCTCTGTAAATGAACGGTAGCATAAAATTTTATTTTTTTTTCGTTTTAAGTTATTTTATACTCTAATTTAAACTATTTTATAATGCTGTAAATTCCTTTTTAAAGTTGACATATTTTCTAACTTTAATAACTTTGTCATCTCAAATTTCATGAAAATATTTAAAATATCTTATTCTTTCAAGTGACAGGTCTTCTTTTTCAAAAAAAAAAAAAAAAAAATTTTACATTTTAATGATAGTCAAGTAACCGGTTAACTGACCGATTTTAACTGACCGGTTGACCGACTGGTTAATAGTAATATAATTGAGAAGTTTTGGCTTAATAGAAAGTTTTAGTTTAAAACATCACAATTCTAACGAACTTTAATTTTTTTTAAAATTTCAAAATTTTTAATTTAATAGATAATTAAAATAAAATGTTGATTTTGTTAATTTAATACATTTGGCTTGAGTTAGATATACCCCATTTGTAATAGTAATTGAACACAGGGAATTCAATAAATAAAAAAAAGCTAACTTCAGGATTTATCTTTTAAAATCAATTCTACAAAATATTAAATTAAATAAAAAGAAAAATATGAAATACAAATCGAGCTTTTATTCTAATTCTTTTTGTGAATAAAAGATAGGCGTCAATCATAAAGCGTTTTTGATTTTCTTCTTACGTCAAATTTTCTACTTTATTCTAATTTAAGAAATAATATTCTTTATCTATAAAATAGTGCTAAAACAGGTATTTTTTGATCGTCTCAGACCTTGATTTTCAAATTTTCAAAATGATCGTTAACAATAAAAATTATCTTTCTTTATATTTACTATGGAAAATTTTTTAATACATCAACATTTCTTGTTAAAACTTTCTTATTGTGAATAGTTTCAAAGAGAAACAAAATAACATATCAAAATTTGGTACCAGATGTAAAAGTACTGATGGGAATACGATTTTTTTTTACTTTTTTTTCCTTATAAAAGGCAATGATTTCAATTTTACTCTGAATTTAAGAATCCAAGCTTATTTGATAACTAACATTCACCAAAAAAAAAATAAAACTCAACAAACTCAACTTCTCAAAGAAATCATAATCATGAACCGAAAATTTATATTTGCATTCCTCTTATTAGTCACGCTTTCTATGGTCAATGCAATTTTACATAAAAGTCATAAAATATCTGAGAGTTTTTTACATTGTAATGCAACACAAGGTTTAACGACACCAGTATTACTCAATGTTTCAACAAGTATATACGAACCCAACCATAAAAAAAATCTTATTTATAATTTTAATGTTTCCAAAATATTTACAGAAGATGTTAACAAAAAAACCTTTATTGTGGTTGCATTCGTTAATAAAGCAACTCAACAACCCATATCACCCCCCACGATTTTAAATGCTTGCACTAGAAGTGAAAATAATGAATGTCTAATTAAAGCTGGTGAAAAATTTAATCAAACGTTGGAAGTTAAACTTCCAATTAAAAAAACTAATGCTACTGATATTTCTTTTATTCCGGTCAGGACTGTAATTAGTATTGCAAATTCAGATACTGATATTCTAGGCTGCAGATAGATATTGAATTTGATTCTGTATAATTATATTGATTTTTGATTGTTTTTTTGGTGAATCTTGAAATGAAAGAGAAATGTAATCTAATTCATGTATATCTAACACTACTCATTTAAACAAGTTACAGCAGTTCGTTCTCTTTTTAATGTTTTATTTCGTGTTCAAAATAAATCTATCAATTTCGTTTACTATAGCTTATAAAGATTTATGTGTGCTCTTCTTAATTCACCTTTGCATAGAAATTGTTGAATGTTCATATTATCGTTCTCATTCTTATCAATTATTATAATTTTAGCATCATTCAACTAAGAATATATAATTTTCTTTTTTTCTTTTTTTTTCTTACTTTTCTCTTTTTCTTCATTTTTTCTTTAAATTTATTTTTATAGGGTTTATAATTGCGTTCATAGTAAGAAATTTAGGTTACATGAATTTTCAAATGATTTATGTATTTTAATTTAATTCTTAAAAACCTTTTCATAACTTTTACGATAATATATAAGGGCATTAATTACTATTAATCAAGCATCCTTTCTGAAATTTACGAAATAAATTAATTAAATTTCTATTTTCGCTATAAATTCATGTAATATGAAAAAATATAATTATATTTATTAAACATTTTCATACTTTTTTTTATTTTTCTCACTTATATTTAAATTCTTTCTCTTGAGTTCTTAAGTCTCCTTCTCTTACTTTGCAGAAAATTTTAAAATCGAAACCATATCATGACCAAGTAGAAAATTTATTGTAGACCTGACACTGGTCATTCACATCGTCACGAGGAATTAATTGTACAAATCATCTGATTTAACCGTATTAAATATATATAGTGAATTTATATTAAATTTATATTAAATATATAATTAAAGTTTTTATTTTTAAAATTGCAAATAGATCTTTAAAAATAATTCGAAATCATAATAAACCCATTTCCTCCATTATCAAATAACACATTTAGTTCAATTTTTAATAGATTTATTTACTATTTATTCAACATCATCTATTGTGTTAATTCTAGTTAATTGAAAGAGTGTTTTAATATTACTAAAATATCTATTTAATAAAAACTTTGTGTTTTAAATCATGAAATTTACTTCAACAATATCATATTTTCCTATTATTATTAATTAAGGCTAGAAAAATAAAGAAAGATCATTCTTGTTTTGATCTATACAATTATTGTAAGTGATTTTTAAATGTTGTTCTCCTTAGTAAAATTTGCTTAATATATTAAAATAAGATTGATTATTTTTTAGCACTTTTCCTATAATTCTATGTAAAAATTTTTTTCACTAATAATATAATTTTACTATTTACAAAAGATTATTATTTTATATTATATATATTGAAAATATGAATTGCAAAAGCAGTTTTGAAATAAATTTAACTAACTTACTGAAATCAGAATATTCTGTATCTAATTATAATAAATATGAGTAATTTCTTTATATATTACTAATTATAATATTATAATTATAATAATTTCATTTCTTTTTTACTTTATTATTACAATTTTTAATTCTAATCCTATTTAGTTTTTTCATCAAAAATTTTTATATGTTAAATCTTTTTTTTAATATTTTACAAATATCACATAAATCTGTAACTAATATTATAAATTTAATATAAGATTCTTCCAAAGTTTAAATAAAACTCTTATATAATATAATAGATATATATTTATTTAATTCTTTATTTGTGTAATAAATCTTTATAAATTCTACAGTACAAAACCTTTATAATAGAAACTTAAAATATATTAATAAAATTTAATCCACTGATTAGATTTTAATCAAATAAAAAAATGATTTATTTTTGTAAAAATAAATCGATTTATAAAAAAAAGTTTTTCAATTTTGTAAATTATGTAAGCATTGTGTAATATATATATAAGTTAATTAGAAATCAGAATTTAAAAATTATATGAAACAATTTATTTTATTTTATTTTATTTTATTATTTCATTATAAATTGCATTAGGTACATAATAATAAGACTTATATTTTTAGCTGCAAACTCTATCATTTTTCCAGTAATACCTTTTCTATAAATATCCATATATCACCATGATTTTTATACATATTTTTGAATTATAATTAAAGGAACTAAATCTAATACTTTAGAAACGATTTGTTGTAATTCAACCTATATATAATTGCAATATTCTTGTATATATCTTTTTGCTGTATTTCAATATATTTCTATATAATTTAATTCATAATGATATTTAGAATAAAATAACATTTATAATCATATTTTTTAATTTCCTTTTGAAGTTGAGATTTTTATGCTAAAAAATTTGGTTGTTATAATAAATTTTATATATACAACAATCTGTTCTATTTGTACCTACTATCTTAATTTTTTCTCTATATAATTTATAATCAGCTAATAAATTATTTCTCTATAAACCTCTTTCAATTAAAATTTGTTTTATATCTTTTAATTGATTTGAATATTTTGAATGATTATGTGAAAAAACCATAGATTTTAATGTTTTATTTGATTCATAATAAATTTCATGCATACATAGTTTTTTACTTTCTGGATTTAAATTCATATTAAAAGGATTTAATCTATCTTTTGCCATAGCATTATAATTAATAATATTATTAAATGCAAAAACTGCTATTGTATTAGAATACAATATATTAAAATTTTGAATTACTGAATTTGCATCTTTAATAATATTTAGATAACTTGTAGCAAGTTTATCATTAAGTTTAAGTCTTTTAATAGTTTATAATAAAAATTCACTAATCATTATAGACTTTTCTTGACCTTTTTTTCAAAGTAATAGTTTATCTAATGGATTTTAAATGATTAGATGATTATTATTAGCATAAAAAATTATTTATTATATATAACAAAAATATGTAATTTTTCTTCACTTTCAAGTTCTGAAAGAATCATTTGCATTTTATTATCAATAAATATTAGTATTAATCTTTCATAATTTATTATGACTTTTAAAATTTTTTCTTGATATTGCAATACATCTTTACATTTATATTTATTAAAGTAAATATCTTTCTTTCATGATTGTAAAATTAAACCTAACTTATAAACTATATTCTTGCAATTTTATTGATATTGATTTGCATGTAATTATCATACCCATTCGTGAAAAAAATTTTATCATTACAAATTCTTTGTATTCTCTAAGTGTTATTTTTCTACTATTATTATGAATATATACTAATCTATAATTAATGACATCTTTATCATCAATTAATAACTTAGTTTTTTGTTAATAATCTTGTAATAAAATAGGTAATAAATCATATTCAATCCAATAATTATCTAACTTATGAATAATCTTAGACCTATAAACTCCTTTATTATAAACTTCTTTGATACTTTTCACTTGCTTTAATTCATATCAAATCATTTTTTTCTAATATTAAAATATATATATATAGATTAATACTTCAAATAATTATATACTGTCTGATTTTTTTGATTATCTGAAATAATACATTCCAATTTTTGTAATTTTAGGTCAAAATTATCATTATTAATACTTTATATTTCATTAACTATACTTTCTTTTTCTAATATACTCTTATTATTTATTTCATTATCAATATCTTTCTTTTTTGACATAATATCATCATTTATTAAATTAAATTGATTTAAATTATCTATTTTATTAAATCCCAATAATTTGAATTATTTCAGTCAAGAAATATACTAAATAAGAAAATGAGTTCTAGAATGATCAACAAAAATTTCTTTAAATTTGATTGGCTGTTACATACATATATGATCGATATCATTTTTTTTTTTTTTTTTTTTTTTTTGAATTTTTATTGTAGCTTAAATAACATATAGATAGATAGCAAAAGAGTTCTAATTTCCATAATCAAAAATAATTATTTGGGATCAACTCTCCTTAAAAAAGTAAATAAAACCTCAAAATAAGAAATTTGTATGTATTTTAATAGTTAAATAAAAATATATATAGCATATTTTTTGTTAACTACTTTAATATTTTAAATATTTTTTTTGTAGTATCTGTTTACTAAAGGTTAAAAGCAAGTGACCTTCTATGTATTTTTACAAATTTAGTTAATAATTATTATACAATTAAATTAAAAACTGTGAAATAAAGGAATCACAAACCTGACGGCATGCTAGTATCCAAGAAATAGCTAAGCAGTTTACATAATATCATAATTACTTTTCTGAGTTCACTAACTTTTATTCTTCTTTAAAGTCTTATTTGATTTGCGAAAAGCATTATAATCAAATTATTTCTATTAATCAATTTTACCATCATCTTACAGATTCTAATCAGAACAACAAGTAGCTTTGATTAGATACTGATGGAGATAGTAACATTGATCATCTCAATATTATAGCTAAGTTTGAAAAGATTAAAAGTTTCTGAAAGCTAGTTACTGAGAGATTCAGCAAAAGTTATAATTAATAATTGAGTTCAACAATTAAATCGTATAGATGCAAAAGCATTTAGAAGATCAAAAAAATGAAATAGAAAAAATAAAACAAAAAATACAAAGGGCTTGTGATTATATAATTAAGACTCAAAGTTTGTATGAGAAACAATATAAAAAGAATAATGATTTTGTCAAATAATAAGATTCATAATTCGATAATTAACAAAAATATATTGATACAATTATTGAGATAGCAAATGCAAAACGTGTATCATTATTTGATAATTTGGAATTAATAATCTAAAATAGCACTAAATTTTCTATAAAAAGTCTTATAATGTATAATCCTTGTGAATGACTCAATAGGCATAATAAAGTTATTATTGTATTTATCAAAACTTTGATTCAAAATATTCAGAGTACTCATGCTTTAAGTTAAGAAAAACTTTTTAAAATTACAGTTGCAGTTGATTCAATATATAAAATGTGATACAAAAAATATATTTCAAAAGCTCAACTTACCTCTTAGCTATTAAATATTCAATCACACAATTGAAGATAATTATTAATATCAATAATCATATTACAAGTTCAAAAAATTACTATTGATTTTAAAAGTAGTTGAAAGAATTATCAAAGCAAGAAAAACTATTGTCTGAAGGACTTTTATTTTTGCATTTGATAATAAATAAAGAGGACAAAAAAATTATCTTGACTGAGGCTACAATATAGTAGTTTACCATATTGTTACTAGTCTTATTACTTTTAATATAGATTTGCATAATAAAATTCAATATACTAATACATCTTAGACATATTATTCTCTTAACAAATTATAGCATAAAGAGCTTTTTAATATCAATTCTCAAATGCAGAAAATTATTAATAAAGAATTATATAACTATCTTTCTGATATTATTAATTTATTATCTAAAGAAAAATCATCATTCACTAATACAATTAATTCTCTTATATCATCTATAGAGATTAATATTACTAATATGAAAGAATATCTCAATTGCTATTTATTGAATATTGAAAATCAAAAAAAAAGATGCTTAGAATACAAAATACAATTACTGATATTGACTGAAATACAAAAAGAAAAAGTAACTGAAGTTATAAGTAATACAACTAACAATACTCTAATTTTTAAACCATATAGTTTTGAAGATAAACTAAACATTTTATGTATTCTTAAGATCAGTCTTATCTAACAACAAGTTACTGATCAAAGAGTTAATATTCATAAGGTTTATATTCCTAATCTGATCGATATCAATTCCAATTTTATTTTGAATGTTGAAAAAGTTCTTTTACATATAGAAAAAATAACAGATGTTAGAGATAAAATTTGTAAATAGGTAGTAACAGTCTGCAATAGTATTCTATATCATCATAATATA